ACGACCATAGTCAGAGAGAAAGCTATCATTGCCCTCCTCAAAGAACGGAACTCCAGATGGAAAGCTATTATAGCAGCCGGTATTCGGAGGATCTCTGCTTCCCCATTGAGGTTTGCCTTCTTGGGATGCCACTGCCATCAAGTCTTCCATCCTAAACCAAGTAGTATAAATCTGTAAGTGTGATTCGTACAGGCAAATACAAATTCTGAATAAATAAGCACTCACATGTACTTGTCATGGCATTGGAATTCACCAATTCCAGGGAATTTCCACCTCCCATCTCCAGAAGGATGTGCAGGATATCTGCAAGAGATATCTGTGTAAGAAACTCCTAATTGTAGCTATTGTGGCTTTACCAGTGGTAGTCCACAGAAAATCAGAAGTACCTAAGCTCCCCCGAAGGACCAAGACCTATACTTATTTCTTCAATCACGTTCCCAAAATATGGCTCAAATTTTGTAGAAAAACTGAGCATAAAATCTTCATAGCATTGGACAGCAGTACGGCCACCGAACAAAGGAAGTTGATCGACTCCAAGTGTGAGATAGTCATTGTTGGAAAGTCCACGTTTATCTCGATAGTATATGTCCTTATTGACGTCTCCAATCTGGAAATTAAAAGGTGGAAAGGAGCTGAGCGAAACTATCTTACTGGAGCAACAAGCAGATGTACAAATTCTTAACAAAGGAAAGCACTCCCAACGACAACATAATCAAGTAAGCATTCATGATTGTGTACCAGAAATCTAGATACTCCAAGGTTTCACCAGAAAAAATTACAACTATCAGTATTCAACAATGTAAAAGTATTGAAAAATTACAACCTTAAAAATATTCAAAGGAAGAAGCAAAATCCGAATCAGGCAACCTTTGCTATGTCTACTGCAGACAAATAACTAAATACCTGTAAATCAAACAATACAAACCTCTCGGATCCAGAGTGGAAGACTGATGCCTCCTTTCCCACCAAACAAGTGCATATTTGAATGAAAGCAAAGAGCAACATGTAACTTCAACCCTGCCTCAGAAATCAGTCTAAAGAGCTCTTCATACAGTGACCATTTAAACTCAAGAGGACAGAAACGCTCTACAATCCCCCACCAAACCTCAACTGCGATTCCATGAACACCAGCTAACTTGAGTGCCTTGAGAGAAACAGTTAAAGCCTTGAGCCTATAACAAGAACAGATAGAAAAACTTCATTACCTGATCAGTGAAGAGAATGAAAAAAAATTAACGAACCAAAAGAAGAAACTAGACTTTGTCTTGTTCTGAAAATGGAATTATACTATATTTCATACCATGTAAGGTTATATAAATCGGGTACATTGAAACATTTCAAGAAACTTAACCTTTTAATCTTTGGGCACCCAGAAGCATCAATTCCAAATGTATCAAACGGCATCATCACAAAAACTGGAACTCTCTTGTGCCTTGATGATACCAACACAAACGATCGTGACTTCTCTCGAGCATCCATGCTATTAATCATGTTCATCAACAACAAAAATCGATTAGTTCCAATCCAATTTCAATCGCAGACAACTAATTTCTATCAGTCTTCCCCAAATTGATTCCTCCTCTAAAGAATCGTCCACGAACAAACGAAAATGTTCTAATCGCTTCCATTTTGCTTGAATTTAACAGCGAAAGAGAAACTAATTACCTAAAGATTCGGCTGTTTCCGGCGACGGAACGCCACTTAGTGATGAAACGGCCGCGTTTGGAAGGAGGAATCATAGAAACGCTTCGGAAAAAGTTACGATTACGCTTTGTACTCTGCTCGAGGAAACAAGATTTCAAAGAAAATCCTCCGGGATGGAAGAAATTGCCGCCGGTAACTCCGCGGCAGCCACATCCGATTACTCCAGTCTCCGCCATTTTCGTTACTTCTCCTTCGTCGGAGATATTTCTCTGATGGTTTTAGATGCGGAGGAAAAGAGACGGAGATGGAGTACTTGAAACGCAAAATTTTATTTCTCTTTTTCTTTTCTTTTTTTTTAACGACCCAAAATTTATTTGGGACTTTTTCTAATATATATGCTGAATTTTTAAATCAAGAAAATTATCAACTTTATTATTGCTTTTTGACCCCTCTACTTTTTCTTTTATTGCCTTTCTTTTCTCGTTTTTGCCCATATATTTTCGAAGTTTCTATATTTGACCCAAACTTTCGTTTTGTGTTTTCTATTATACCTCGTGCCTAAAATAAGTATAGGACTATAGGTGTTTGTATGAAATAAATCTGTAAGATTACCATAACTAAATAACGTTTTACTGTTCAAAATTCAGTTTAAGTAGATGATTGAAATTATTTTTATTTTGTTACAAAAACCAGAGTTGATTTGTTCGAACTCGTGTTTAATGTTTGACATGGAATGAAAACTGTAAATTCTATTATGACTTTTATAATTGAATTAAAGAAAAAAAAATACGAGGACTTGGATAGAATATAGTCAAACTATTGTACTTTAGATGGTAAAAATTTTATATGATATTAAATATCCGTTGAATAAGGCTTTTTAACTAAGGAAAAAAAAAATCCATTGAATTTTTACAATTTTGCTGACGTGGAAAAATCTCGACCCTTAGTGGATAAGCATGTAAATTATCCATTAGAACATTATCCCATGCTACTCGCAGTCATCAATACTGCTTACCAATTGTGGTGTGTTTTGGGGCTTTTTGGTAATCAATAGTAAACGAAAAACCAAAATGTCTTGGCACATATTTATGTTGATGTATTATTTTCGTATGCATTGTCATATATAGAGTCGATCAAATTAAATCATGGGTCCATGGACCACGATATGTCACGTTTCAGTCTCGTACTCATCAAGTTGCAAAACTTTGTTTATCACATATAGTTTGAATGTGAAAGACAAGACATTAATTATGATCGATGTTTGAATGAGTTCAAAAGACAATGAAATTTTCAAAGTCTTGAGTATTTTGGAAACATGGCTTGGTTCAGTCAAGAATGTAAAAACCAAAGATTAGACATTGTATCTTAATGTATATATCGAACAATTACTTACGTAGATATGTAGGTGGTTAGTGGTTAGTGGTTACTGTTAATTTTTGGTTATATTTCGTCGAATTACAAATGCATGGTACATTTTTCAGTTGCTAATTACCACTTTAATTTTGTTGAGTTTTTTTTATCCGTTCCTTCAAATGTACGTAATATAGTTAAGAATTTATAATCGACGACAAAAGAATAATTTGCTAATCAATCTATACAACCAAAGTGACCACGAAGATCAATAGAACATCGTAGCGAATGGATTTAGAAGCCGATTTATTTCCGCCAAATTCTCGTAAGAATGTTAACAAAATTTTCAATTAAAGCAAAAAAGGAATATTTGAGAAAACTAATTAGCCCAAATCACAAACAAAATCCTCTTTCTTGATCATGCTATAATTATAAGGCTTTCCTTTTATTGAACTCTTATCCCTTGTGTGTGAACATAGAAACTAAAGATTTGTATAGCTTCGTCCTCATTAATACTACTTGAAAGAATGGAAAGAAATAAAATATCAGCATTGCTACCGTAATTTAGGGGAGGAAACAATATTTGAGAATAAACCATATATTCTTTTTTGCGTGTGTCCTATATAAACACAGAAAGAGGAACTCCATTGTTAAATCAAGAAACTTCAGAAAGTGGAGCTATTCAAGAAGGTATTATACGCTCTCTCTTTTTTAATAACCACTTTGCATTTACTTTATGCTAATTTAGCTATGCGGTTTCCATACAATTCTATTTTATTATACGTGTTAAGAGTATTTAGATTTGGAATTATGCACAGAAATTTCTAACAAAACGATCAAAAATTATGCGCAAAAATATTTGAGGGCTCCGATTGTTATATATGCTGTTATACTACAACTTTGATTGATTCACGTAGTACAACACATATACTAAGTTTCAAATGCCTCTTAGTGAAAAATTTGAGAACAAATGTTTACTAGTATTAGTTTTTTAATGTTTTGGTAGCTTATCGTTATATCCGAATGATGGTATTAATTGTGTTTCACGACTTTCACGATTGTGAGCTTTTGTTGTGTTTACTCATTTTTTGGCTTTAGATTGAAACAAAGGTATCTGGATGGGTCGAAAGATGGTAAAGATGGTGAAGATAATGAACGAGAAAACGAGGATAACAACTTACAAGAAGAGGAAAGCATGTTTGTATAAGAAAGCCAGTGAGTTCTCAACACTCTGCGGCGTGGACACTTGTCTCATTGTGTACGGCCCGAGCAGAGCAGGGGATGAGATGGTCGCGGAGCCAGAGCTATGGCCAAAGGATGAGAGGAAAGTCCGTGAAATCATAACCAAGTACAGGGACACTGTGTCAAGCAACTGCACCAAGACTTACACCGTGCAAGAATGCTTGGAGAAAAACAACACTAAAGAGGAGAAACCGAAGATTGCAATGGAGTATCCTACATGGGACAAAAAGCTTGACAAGTGTTCTTTAAATGATCTCTATTTGGTTTTCATGGCAGTAGAAAACAAGATCCAGGAGGCTACGAATAGGAATCAGACATTTCCTGACACTACTTGTTGGTCTAATGACCAACTTGGTTTATGCGGTTACAATCAACAATGTTTTGAGCAGTATCAGTTGTTTCCTCTGCCTACTATGGAGCACAACGGGTTCTCTTTTTTCCCTTTTAATAACCAGATGACCTCAAATACCGCGGAAGTGGCTTCCTTCTCGAATGTGACAGAGCCGATGATAGCAAACGGGCAAAACTTGTTTTACGGGAGTTGTTCGGATGGTCCATATGGTCCGGTGGTACAGAGGACAGCTTATATGGAGCCAATACAATGGGGTTTAGGAAACAGTGTGTTCAACAATGTGAAGCAGTTCCAAGATTATCCATTCAGGTTTGCACAAGTTAATGACTTGGAGGATTCAAGTAAACTTCCTATGTGAGAAATGTCATTTGTTTCTTTCCTTTGTATGTTGGTTGGATTATTTCAAATGTTTATGAACTTTTCTTTATCCAGTTTCTATTAGTTTGTGGACTTTCTACAGCTATCTCATGGAATAAGAAAGTTGAAAATTTATGAAAAATTATTGTACTAACATATATATTCTACCAACATTAGTAAACTATATAGTATCAATACAACAAAACAAGTAAGTATCTTGTTAATTAGAATTACACGATATAATGAAGATAATTTTATAGTCTGACAAAAAGTTAATTCGCTATTAAAACCAAAGTGGCCACTAAGGTCAGCAATATGCATAGAAGATCGTGTTGAACGGATTTAGAAGCCGACTTGGCTCCGGCAGGAACCTCAGCAGTCTCTGGCGCCAAATTCGCCATCGCCGGTGCAGAACTACTTATTGGACCTCGTCCGTAAGGAAATATATCTGGCGTACTCGCTGGAGTTGATGGAATACTAAGGGTTGTTATCGGTGATGTGGGTGCTATCTCTGGAGTGTCGGCGGTGACTGGTGCTTGGTTTGATGGGGCGGTGGCAGGTGATTCTGTCGAGGTGGTGGGACTTATCGTAGGAGCGGATATTGGAGACTTCACGGGAATTGTAGTGGGAGGGGAAACAAGGGAAGTTGCAGGAGTAGAGACAGGTGTCGTGGCTGTAGTCGGAGAGGAAACAGGGGAAGTCGCCGGAGATAAAACAGGGGAATTCAAAGGAGACGCAATGGTACGAGATGTGACAGGGGAAGTCGCCGGAGATGAAACAGGGGATTTCAATGGAGAAGAAATTGTCCGAGATGAAACAGGGGACGTCGCCGGTGTAAAAGCAGGGGTCCGAGATGGGGAAGCCGCCGGAGTAAACACTAGGGATTTCGATGGAGACTCAACGGTGCGAGATGGGGAAATCGCCGGAGTAATAACAGGGGATATCAAAGGAGACGTAATGGTCCGAGATGTAACAGGAGAAGTCACCGGAGAAACAACAGGATATTTCGATGGAGTCACAAATGCCGGAGAGGAAACAGAGGATTTCTCCGGTGACTTCGTAGGCGAGGTTTGCTTCGTCGGAGGTGGTTCCTCTGGAGGGTTTTGGATCACCGGAGGATGTAAAGTAGGCGTCAGAGGAGACGTCGACGGAGAAATAACACGGTAAGGTTTTGCCGGAGGATGTAAAGTGGGCGTTTGAGAAGACTTCGTCGGAGAAGTAAAACGATGAGATTTTGCAGGAGGATGTTGTTTCACGGTGAGTCTCGGCGATTGAGCGGGTGCATTGTCCGCTTGTACAATACCAGAAATAGAAATTAAGAAGACAAAAATGGAAATTACAACAAACCGATGCATCGTGTTTTGTGCTTTGTTTGATTCTGGGAAAGAATACAAAAATCCAAAATGTTGTATTTCGATTCTCTGATCTTCTTAGTAAATTAATAGTTGCAGGTTTCGGTTATGGATTTATACGAAAGAGAATTTTTTAAACGCGAAACGTTGTGGATTGTGAGAATCAAGATATATGACCGTTGGAGGCGCCTGTATCGTACGTAGTGAAGTAGCCGTTAAACCGGTTCAAACCGGTACTAGTAGACAACAAGAAGTTTAGTTCAGAGAAAATCAGACTACGTGATGTTTGATAGGTTATCGAAAGTCTAAACGACACACTGGTATTGTAAGTGAGCCCACTAAAGAGATAGCCCATGAAACCACGCGTGTTTGGATTGTTTAGTTCTCGTAAATTCGTAACACACGTGTGCATCACTAGAAAGAGGCTCTACAATGCGCACGGTGCATGTTAGCGGATTCCATCGAGAAAAATAATCAAAAAAGAAAATCCTAGAAATTTCACAAATCTACCGGATTAGGGTTTCTAGCCTTTTCTGTGTTTCAAGTTTCCGGGAACAAAATTTCTGCAAAATCTATTGTGTTCTTCAGATTGTTCATGTTCGAGTGATAGCGTAAGCTTGTGGTATTCTGATTTGAGAATACGATTAAAAGAAAGGAGCTTTCTTTAGTCTTTAAGATGGATGAGGGAGATGGGAGAGATCAGATGGGAGAGATCAGATGGATCAATTTCATCAAAACGAGGCGATATCTGCCGTAGCTGACGACGGGTTTTTGGCGGAGGAAGAGGATGATGATTATGAGGATCTTTATAACGACGTTAATGTTGGAGAAGGGTTTCTTCAGTCTATCCAGAAGAACGACGAAGCGGGATCTAGAAACGAGGAAAAGGACAAGGTTAGCATCGAGGAGGAGGATAGGGTTGAACCAGTTTTAGGTGCGTCGGAAGCTGAGGTTTCGATACCTGGTTTGGTTGGTGAGAGCGTTGCTAAAGAAGAAGGAGGAGGAGGAAGTGGTACTGATGTGGTGGTCGCTTCTAGTGGATATGGAGCTCAAGAGGTTAAGGTAAGCGATGTTAGCCGGGAGATTTCTGGTGGAATTGGTACTGGTACTGGAGGTGGTCTTAGAGTTGAGCTAGGGCAAGCTGCTAATCGGGCAAATGATCTCGAGGCATCTAGAGGAAATAATATGTCGCAGGGTCTCTTGCCCCCACCGCATGTGTTGGGGAATAACGAGAATTTGATGAGACCTGTGATGGGTAATGCTAATGGCGGGACTCCTCCTGGACCTGGTAGTATTATGGTTGGGAATGGAGCTAATATCGCTATGCCTGGTGTTGTTGGCGGGGGAACCGGTGGAGGAGGAGGAGGAGGCGGTGGAGCTATTCTTTTTGTTGGGGAACTGCATTGGTGGACAACTGATGCTGAGCTTGAGGCAGAGTTGTGCAAGTATGGTGCAGTGAAGGAGGTTAAGTTCTTTGATGAGAAAGCTAGCGGGAAGTCTAAAGGGTTTTGTCAAGTAGAGTTCTATGATCCTATGGCAGCTTCGGCTTGCAAAGATGGAATGAATGGGTATGCATTCAATGGTAGGCCTTGTGTTGTTGACTATGCGTCTCCATATTCGGTTAAGAGAATGGGAGAGGCACAGGTGAATAGGACCCAACAGGCGCAATCTGTAATTGCACAAGCTAAGAGAGGAGGGCCTGCTGATCCTCCAAGTAAACCAGTCGTGACCAACAACAATAACAACAACAACGCCATTGGCGGGAATTTCCAAGGCGGGGAAAATAGAGGATTTGGTAGAGGTAATTGGAGAGGCAATGCTCAAGGAATGGGTGGTAGAGGACCAGGTGGTCCAATGAGGAATAGGCCTGGTGGGATGGGTGGAAGAGGTTTGATGGGTAATGGTGGAGGTGGGTTTGGTCAGGGAATGGGTACAGGGCCTCCTATGAATATGATGCATCAACCAATGATGGGGCAAGGGTTTGAACAAGCTTTTGGTGGACCGATGGCGAGAATGGGAGGGTATGGAGGATTCCCTGGGGCTCCAGGTCCACCGTTTCCTGGGCTTTTGTCCTCATTCCCTCCTGTAGGAGGAGTTGGTTTACCTGGAGTGGCACCTCATGTGAATCCAGCGTTTTTTGGACGAGGGATGCCAATGAATGGAATGGGAATGATGCCTAATGCTGGTGTTGATGGAGGGCATAATATGGGAATGTGGGATCCTAATAGTGGAGGATGGGGTGGTGGTGAAGATCTGGGTAGTGGAAGAGCTGCGGAATCGAGTTATGGGGAGGAAGCTGCATCTGATCATCAGTATGGAGAGGTTAATCACGATAGAGGGGCTCGTCCGAATCCAGTGAAGGAAAAAGAAAGAGTTTCAGAAAGAGAATGGTCTGGTTCTTCTGATAGAAGGAATCGTGAGGATAAAGATGCTGGTTATGAAAGGGACATACCGAGGGAGAAAGATGTTGGTCACGGTTATGATATGCCAGAGAGAAGGCATCGTGATGATAGAGACACCGGTCGTGAGCGTGAGAGGGAACATCATCATAAGGATCGTGAACGCTCCAGAGAACATGTTCGTGACAGAGAAAGGGACAGGGAGAGGGATCGTCATAGAGAAGAACGAGAACGATATGGTGGTGATCATCGTACTAGACACAGGGACGAACCTGAACATGATGAGGAATGGAACAGAGGTAGATCATCCAGAGGACACAGCAAATCGCGGTTGTCTCGGGAGGATAACCATCGCTCAAGATCAAGGGATACTGATTATGGGAAAAGAAGGCGGCTTACTACTGAATGAATATCTGATAAAAGTAAGTTGTTAAATCTAATGGTATCTTTCGTTTCTCATGTATCGTAAATTCTACCATTCTTTTTGGTTTTTTGCTTTTAGACTTGGCTAGTTACTGGCCTGGGTAGTTTTTCTGACCAAAAGTTAGCTATCTGCAAAGTCATACTGTTGTCTCATTGTCTAACTTGTGTATACTCTCGTAGATCAATGTTTTTTCGAGTTGATAGTAATCATTGTGGTTTATACTTTCGCCCTTCTCTTTGCTGACTAAGGTTTCTGTTGTCTTCTTAAATTCATAACATTATGGGTAGATTGACTTTGAGAGCTCCTGCAAAACTATAAACCCCCTTATGGAAGAAAAGCAAGATGAGGAAGAAGAAAGAAAACCTCAGAGAAAGGCAGACTCTTGTCAAAGATTGAAGACTCTCACTGGTGAAATCTCTTCTTCAACTCAGCTTAGATACCTAGAAGTGGAAAGAAACTTGGCAAACGTTTGCCTTCTTTAAGTTATTAGACACCTTACCTTTTTGCCATTTTTATGTGAAACTTCTAAAGACCAGTGTGTTGTGGTGATGTTTTGGCCTTTTGGGTTTCCATCCATTTGTGTTTAGATGTTCTTATTTTAACTGTTTCTGAATTTGTTGTTGTGTAGTTGTATTAGTTGCAGCCAAATAGCTAGCCTGGCCAGTGTTACTGATCTTGGTTCTCCATGTTTTAGCCATTTGGGCTGTATTGTATGTATCTCATCATATTGTAAGCCCTTAATCTGCCTTAGGATCTTCAGAGGTCATGAGGACATGACAAATGTAACAGCATGAGCATCCTTTGGGATTGTGTTTTTGTGATTTCCAAAAGTGATGTAGTAGATCATTTTGTTGTTGTTGAAGAGGAAATTTAGTAGCTCCTTGTTCAAGTGTGTACATAATAGAGGTAATATTTCTCCACTTCCATGGTTTTTCTTTTAAGTTTCTGTAGCTATGAACACATCCACATCAATGGCATACAGATCCTTTTTTCTTCATTTAGCACTGGCCAAGTTGATTCTTCCTTGTTCTGCTGTGCTCTTTAGACATTGCTTGAGTCAGTAGAAGAGGTTTCTTTGAGTCTGGTTTCTTTTTGCTTGAATAGGTCGATAAGATTATTTTCTTGTGTCCTTTCTTTCTCCTCATGGTCTTGATTGTCAGTATCAATATAGTTAGGCATCATACAACCTGATCAAAACAAGACGGGTAAAGTAATAATATAGTACAGAGACGAAACAGCATGGGAGAAACTAATATAAGTTCTAGCAAATGTCTTAAAAAGGAAACCCAAAAATCAAAAGGCTGTTCAAGTTGGGCATGAATCCTAAAGGAGCTTATGTTAAAAGGTATACACACAAACAAAGCTGCTTATCTTAAAACTACTACTTCTTCCTCCCTCCGACTCTACCAAAAGTTTTTTTTAAAAAAAAAATCTGCTTGTAGAAACAATTCCAGACTAAACAACCAACAAATTACATTCTCTGATATATTTGCCTAATGACTGAGGAGGCTAGGCAATCGAGGAGAGACCCCTTCAAGATTAACTAGTAGGTCGACTAGATTTATGTGCTTTGTGATTAAGCTTTAACCTCCTCTCCACCACCAGATCCTCCAGCTTTCTCTTTCTCTTTCTCTTCTTCTTCCTCATGCTCAGCATCCTCTTCTTCTCCTTCCTCATCCTCGGCTTCATCTGCTAGCTTAGTGAGTTCATCTTGGATCATCAGCTTAATAGATGACTTTTTTGAGGCGAGACTGATTTTGAACTTATCATCTGAAAGACAGGCAAAAACAATGCATGTTAATCAAACTGAAACAGAAACCAATGCAAAGACTATCAGTGAAGAAAAGAACTACTAGGAAACTATCTCATCTTTACCTAGTCGCTTGAGGATGTCAGTGAATGTGGCCTGTCAGAAAATGATAAAGCATTTGTTAGATATCTATCTTCTGTGCTCAATTACTGTAATTTCATGACATATATGTTCATGGTTCAAATCCTCACCGTGTTGAAGTCCACCCCTTTCAAGATATCTATAATTGCAGTTTTCAATTCTTCATCACTAGGCTCCTTGGTTTTGTCTTTCCCTTTTCCACCTCTTTTTCCTATCAGTAAAACAAGAATAACAAACACAGAAAACATAGCGTCAGAAAAAAGAAAGAAAAAATAAAGGCTGCAATATTGGATTAACTCCTGCAGTATGAGATTAAGAATTTAGATTGCTCAAGCTTCTGACAAAGCATGTACTCGTTTTTGAAAAGGAATGGTATGACCGAACCTGGCTTCTCTTTTGATGCAGATTTTGAAGGAGCCAAGGGCTGCTCCTTGGCCGGTTTTTCAGTCTTCTTCCTCTTAGAGGATGCCTTTGGACTTGTATCACTGTCGTCATCACTCTTCTTCCGTTTACCTGCTGAGCGCTTCTGAGTAGCTTTCTTTGGTGGACTGGATTTCGCAGAGACTGCAGTTTTCTTGCTTCTGGATTTCCCTGCTGATTCTTTCTTTCCAGATGATGTCCTAGAACCACGTTTCTTCTTTTTAGTTTCTTCCTCTGACTCCTCCTCAGATTCAACTTTCTCCTCACTTTCAGAAGGCTGAGGCGCCTCGTCCTCAGATTTATCAGGGATCTCATTTTCATTTTCCTCCTCTTCCTCCTCTACCTCCTGCTCTTTCTCTTCTTCTTCATCGTCCTCTTTCTCTTCTTCAGACTCATCATCAGAATGAGGTAAACTCTTTTTAGTCCTTGTCGCTTCCTCGGTCTTTTTTTGGCTCTGTAAAGAACACAAAGAAACGAATCAGATTTCAGGTACTCGGACCGGACACAAGGATGCAGGGTAAATGAAAAACGGCTACAAATGCATTAACCTGACACACATTCTCTTCACAATTTATAGCAAAAGGATTTAAACCTCCAGTTCTAAGCTATTGGGTGATACCTTTGCTGATCGTTTTGAAGATGAACTTCCAGCTGCAGGTGAACTTTTCTTAGGAGTTCTTTTGCGCTTCGCTCCCTATTCAACAGAAAATTAAAAAAAGTTGTATTATGCACAATAAATTTACAGGCTTAATTGCTGAACAGAAGAAGGCCTTTCCAAGACCAAAGTTACCTTCTCTTTCTCATTGACATCAGTTGTTGCATGAGGTTTCTCCAAAAACTCAACCAGCTTTGTGACAATATCTTCCTATATTGGAGGAAAAGTACCATACATTCAGTTGCCAAGTTGATTACATTGGGGAAATACAGAGGCATTGACCCCTAACATGATGCTCATTCATTCATGACAGCAAAAGAAACTCCAAAAAACGAAACTTAGAAATGAGTAGCCATAGTAACCTTCTTTGTGGTAGTCTTAGCAACTGATATGTCAAATAGATCGCAAAACTCCAGCAATTTTTCTTTGTTGATTTTCTCAATCTTTTCTTTCACTTTCAATTTTGCCTTTTCCTGTCAAATATCATTTGAGAAAATTATGTAAGAAATATGAGACGAGCATGGTTAGAAAAATCTTAATGTGTTGTCTCGCCCACCTCATCTCCTTGCCATTTGTAACCAGAAAAGCGTAATATGTTTGCCTTGAGCTGAGTAGCCTGTCAAAGTACGAAAATAGAGTCACATATGAATATGATTAGCAGATTCTCTATAATCTTAAGGATACCATGATGCAATCCTAAAAACTTCAAACTTCATTGGAACCCCCACAAGAACATGCATATGATTGACAGTTTACAAAATTGTCTAACTGAGTGGCTAAAATTGAAAAGGGTACAAAGAGATGCTCACTTTTCCTCTCCTTCCACCGAATAGAATGAAGTGTAACTGCTTGAAAACTTCATCAGACTTCTTCCTTGATACCTTGTAAGCAACTGCAGAGATAGATACAAGTTATCAATTTCATTTAAAGAGCAGATACATAATTGAGTATGTGGAACCAATGAAGTATTTAGAGAATGTGATCATGACAATCAACTTCAAATCCATGGGAATTTTTGCATTTTAAACCAGATTCTAGTCACTAAAACCAAAAGGAAAACATCTCCCAAAAAAAAGATTGAAAAAGCCAGAAACAAATATTATCTAGAGATAAGAAAACCAAGCCTACAAAGTCACAAAGAGCAATCCAGTAATAGAAACGACTATGAGCTCAAGTAAATCCAAAGAAAACTAAAGCCAAAAAGACGTTTTAACAAAACGACTAAATTAGGACGAGATGAACTAAAGATAATATTTAGAATATGAACATACCACTGGGAATATCTTTGAGAGGTGTCCCTTTTCCCTGTATTATCCAAAAGCAAATTATGAATAGATCTAACAATGAAATACTATATACCAACCAAACAAAGGAAACTATTTGCAAACCTTTTCAACATGGAATTCCTTTGAAGAATCTTTATCAACCACCGCAACAAGCCTTTCAACAGACTTTCGCTCACGGACAGGGCGGTCAGAGAAAGGAGTCCTAGGTTCTATATCCTTCTTTTCTTCCTCACTCTTCGTCTTCCCGCGAGCCTTCTCAGTCTTCCCTTTCCCTCGCTTGTTAGACTTCTTGATCTCTTCTTTTTTGTCTTCCTTATCATCATTGCTCTCTTCTTTTTCATCTTCCTTATCATCCATACTCTCTTCTTTCTCATCTTCCTTCTCTTCCTCTTTCTCTTCATTCTCATCCTTGCTGTCATTTATCTCATTTTCATTCTCGTCCTTACTCTCTGTTTTTTTGTCTTCCACTTTTGGCTCATCGACCTCAGTGTCTGCCTCCACTTCCTCTCCTTTGTTAGTTTCCTCCTCTTTCCCCACTTCAGCTAGTTCGCCCTCATTCTTTTCCTTCGGTGCCTCTTCTTTGTCACTTTCATCCACATTCTCCACCTTTTCATCCTCATCAACATCGCCCCCTTTGTCTCCACCGACCAACTTCTCTTCCTCTTTGATCTCTTCCTTATTCCCTTCTTCGTTTCCATTTACTTTCCCTCCTTCTAGTTTCTCTTTCTTTGATTCTTTCTCGGTTTTCTCTTGGTCTCCTTCTGGATTTTCAGCGCCTTTTACATCTTTCTTGTCAGTAGACTCCACATTTTCATCCATTACAGTATCTACCTCAGTAGCACCGCCAGAAACACCATCATCAGCTTTCAAGTTCTTGTCATCTGTGTCTTCATCCATTTTATCAGCTTCTGGTTGTTCCTTGTCTTCGTCTATTTTAGCAGTCTCTGCTTCTTCCTTGTCTTGATCGACATCGTTCTCTTCTGTTTTCTCAGTCTCAACCTTCTTATCTTTTTCTGTAACCTCGGCCTCTTTATCTCCCGTCTCACTTTTTCCTTGGTGTTGCTTACTCTCATCATCTATCTCCATTTTCTCAGGTCCAGTATCCTCGTCTTTCTTACTTTCCTGTGTTTCCTTGCCACTAGCATTCTCCAGCAATTCCTTTCCACTGATAGCATCTGATGTCTTTTGAAGAGAGCTAGTACCATTTGCCGTTGGCTCCACAGTGACTTTTGTATCTTCTTCCCCCATTGCCCACCCAGTGTTCAGTAGATCTTAAAGCCAAAAACACCAGAACGCTGTGGAAAATGTAAGTTTAGCGTTAAAAACTTCCACAATAGGGGCAGAAGTTCATGAAACAAAAGGCACGCAAAAGAAGGGTTCAATAACCCAAAACTGGATGTGCAAGAATAAGTAAAGAGAATTCAGAGAAGGAACAAACTTATAGCAACATGTATACTTCATAGCATCCCATCTTTCTACATACAACTTCAATGGGCTCTAACACGAGAAATTGAGAAATAAAAGATCCAATTTTTAAATGAAATAGACATCCAACAAGTTCTTAATAATTCAGTCCAAATCTAAAAAGAAGGGTAACCAAAATTTTCATCAAATTGAATACTTTTTGGAAAAAAACATAGATTTAGATCCAAACCACAACCACGCTATAACTTTAAAGGAATCCAAAAGCTCATAGAGAAATCAAGATTAGTCTCTCTCGAACCTCAAATTCATACGCTTTTTCTCAACTAAACTAACAAAAATTCACAAATCAAAAGAGAACACAAAACACAAACCCTAAAAGCGACTTCAAGAAGCAAAACAACATTGAAAGCCAAAAACCAACATGCGGATATAGACGAAGCTCGAAAGATTCAACCGCTAAACAAACAAAACAAGCTCAGAGTGGTTCAAAGAGACTCGAAAGGAGAAGACTTTGGAATCTCACCTTCGCTATCCAAAGGCTTCAAAGCACTGAGCTTTTTTTTTTTTGGGGTTCTTATTTATTCCGTTCGAATCAGAACAAATAATACCAACGCTCCGATCTCTTTCTATTAAGGATTCGGACGCAAAACCGGTTTTTAAATACAGTTTATTGCCACGTCGGACTTGTGAACGGTTCAGATTTCGTGTTCGATACTCTCGTGGATCGGTGACGGTAGACAAAACCCAACTTCCGGTACAGTTCACTTATCGTGAAAATACAAAAATCTTTATTTGAGATTATCCTTATTAGATTTAGATCTAAATATTTGCCCCCAAAAAAAAAAGAAAAAGAATTAGATCTAATAATTTTTAATGAACTTATGATCCATGTTTAATAATGTAAAGGTAATTTTAATCGTATAATGTTTGACATTTTTTTTCACGTACTATGTTTTTAATGAAGTTTTGATCGTAAAATAATTTTTAGCGGGTATTTAACGGTTTTTTTAGGTATAATTTTTAGCGGGTATGTAACGGGTTTTTTACGTATAATATTATGCATGCTTACTTAATATGGAAATTATCTTTATCCGATAATAAATAATTTTAGATGAAGCCATGAACAATATGTAATAAATAATGTCACATAAATTTTTTTTGTAACACCTGAACTTTTATATTAGATAGTATAGGGATGATACAGAAAGTTATCCAAGAAGTTGGAACAGAGTAAAGTTGATACAAAGATCTAACTCAAGAAGCATGTTTAGAAAGTCTATCAGCTACATTACTCTCTCGGTTGATATAGCCCCAAAGACAAGGACGGAAGTTTCGACATCCAGTGACATATATCGTATAACGATGTCCCCAACATAATGATTACTACCAATGTTAGTTAATAAGAATAATTAGTTCTTGATTATCTCCTTCAAGCCAGGCGTATATCGCATTCCATGAACCCAAATCACTTGTAATATATAGAGAAAACTAAGTGCTTCCGTCTATTACGAAGAGTTCGATGATTGAAGTTTTGCACATCCCACCAATAGTAAATTTTATGTTTAGCGGTTACAAAGTTCTCTCTTAGAACTTGACAAGGTAGAAGCAACTAATGATCGATATTTAATAATCTAAACTAATTTTTATTTTTAATATGTTTTCCAAGATGATTAAAGTTTTCGCGTATAATATTGTATTTAAATTTTGATGATAAAATAATATTGTATTTGTATAGATAATTCTCAATAAAGTCATAATCGATTATCAATCATGTAAAGTAATTTTTGACCTTATTGCATTTGACAATTTTTTCCATAACAGTGTTGATAATGAAATTAATTTTGGTACTGACTATTTTTTAAAAGGACAAGATTTCTTTCTTTTTTTTAGATTTAATTTAATGGTAATAATATTAGAAATAGCTGAAAAAGAAGAAAGCTAAATTTTCTTTTTGATTTCTTTTTTTCCCTTCTTTTGCTTCTGATCTTTTATTACTTATTTAGCTAAAAAAAATTAAACAAAACAAAACGAAAATAATGCGATAAATCTAATCCTTTCAATGACAGGTGTTTGTGGCGCTTTCTTTCTTATACATATTTCTGATTAGGCGACATAATGACCAAGTTTCTTGTTAGTCATATACGGCTTCATATCTTCTTATTTTGCATGACTGTTTCGATTTTCACAAGATCAACAAACTCTCACATTTCTAAACAAGATTCAGATTGTGGAGGATTCCTATTTGCTAGGTACATTCCAGATAAAAAAAGTATGTTAAGTCATAAGTCATAACAAAGTGCATGATGATCGGTGTGGTGGATGGTAATTATGATATGCCTGTTTGGTTAGTAAAGTAGTTATGGAAAAGTGTTTAATGTAAATAACCAGAAAATTAGTATGTTCGATCAGATTAATTTGAAAGAAGTTATATGTTTATATGAGACCATATCCAATGTATTTATCTATTTTTGCCTCCAAAATAAAAGAACTTTATGAGACCATCTTTAAACATATATAACTTCTTTAAAATATACTTCATCAATAAGAGCAATTGACAGAGTTTTTTTGGCATAGAAGAGGAGTTTGCGGAGTTTGCGGAATGCTCCGAGGGTTATGAAGAAATTACAAATCTTTTATTTTTAAGAGCTTTCAGGAATCTATTACACAATCTTTATGCAAAAGAATTAATTAGTACTATATATCCATCAATAAAAATCATTGACATATATATCCTAAAACCCTAAACCCTAATCACCAAATATCTAGAACAATAATATATTAAAATGTTGAATTTCCTTTGTACATCTGAAATGAAAAATAAAAATCGGATTTAACGATGGTGTGATCATGAGATCTATCAAATTAAATTACATTCGTCTTTTAATAGATCCAATGGAAATATCAATCTCAATAAGATTATCTTCTTCCATATTCACATCATCAATCTCTTCTTCTTGTTCTTCTTCAATCCTAATTCTCTGTCGACTTTCATTAATGTTTCTCATTGCCTCTATAGTCTCTGCTTCTTCTTCACTCACAAGAGCAATCTCAATGAGACCATCTTCATCATCCTCATCATCATCATGGCCTTCTTCTTGGGATCTCTCAGCCAAACATAGTTTTGTCTTCTTCTTAAAGAATCTTAGAAAGAAAACAGAAGTGGAGAAGAACAAGATTGCCATGGTTATTAGGAGAGAGGAGACTCCATGAGAGTTCAAGAAAGAGAGGAAAGCTACAGCTGAAATTAGGGTTACAAGAAAAAACAGCAATGACATCTGTAAAAGAAAGCAACACCAAGAAAAATGCTTTTCATCATCATCAGATTTTTCCACCATTTTGGAAACTTTGTTTAAAACAAAACAAAAACAAAGACAGAGCTAGTTATAAAGAGAAGTCGAGATTGTCTCGATATCCATAGATGTTAATGGAACTTTGAGTTGTACCTGATTCAAATCTTTGAACCAAGCTTCGCTCTATTTGGATCTTGATTTAAGAAGAGAGATTAAAAAGAGACGAATCTGAGTTCTTGAAAAGTTTCAGACAAGTCTGTGAGAGAGAGAGAAATCAGAAAAGTCAGAGGTAGGAACTAGGAACCAAACAAGAAAGCTTTATTTGTTACACTTACATAATTACACCTGCAACTATTTTTTCGAGAAAAGGAAAAGCCTTGGTTTTTGCATGTACGTATTTGAAAAAATAAAACACTTTGAAAAATCTATAAAAAGCTTTGGAATTTGGTAAATCCATGTGAAGCCCACTAATTAAGGATGCTTGTTTTTAGTATTAAATAGTTGTTCAACAAATAGTATCTTTTGAAAAGAGTTCTTAATCTATCATAAACAAAAAAAAGGAAGTAAAACAAACGATAATTCACAACGTCCAACATCATACGACTATGTGGTTAGTCTTATAGAGAACAAATTAAGCTTTATTGAAAAATACTGTACTAGTTTAATATTTTTCTAGAAGTCACCCCCTTCATAAGTTTGTCGGTTTTTTTTTTGGTTGTCATGTTGGATTGTCGATTTGATCTATCTAGGTGGCTGAAAATATTCAATACATGAAATGATTATTAGTTCTTCCTCTGATTGTTTTAAAAAATTAGGGAATTGTCACTTTATCCTTTAGGAACCTACCTTTGTCTCACAAAAGACTCCATTTGTTTTCAATTGTAATCCTGAGATGATTAATGATATGATATCTATCATATAGTTATAGTACTAATAAAACAAATTTATCTAACAAATGATGTTATTAATCAATCGTAAGATTGTGAAACGTTTATAGCGATTAACTGAAATTTTATTTTAATCAAAGAACAAAAAAATGGCGCTGAAATTGTTTGATACTCAAATTTCGATATTCTTGAATGTGTTTTGAACTTTTTATATTGTGTGCTTGCATTTGGAGATACGACACATTCTTTTCGACACATCCAATTTTTTTTGATACGACCGTTGTTGGATACTTGTGGATCCAACTATTTTCAATTGTTTTAGTATATCTTGTGTAGTTCCTATTATATAATACGCTTGTGCTTCCTTGAAATCATTGATGTGAAAAAAGTAATTTGATTGCTTATATCTTAAAAGTTAATAAGCAAATAATTGTTTTTAAAAGTCATAGTTCGTGGAAGTCTCCTTGTCCCATTGATTGACCAATGATTAGTTAATGCTTCTACACCAAAAGCTAGGTCTGGGTTCAAGTCCCAGATACTGTGATTTATTAATAAAATTGCAGATTAATGGAGGCAAGTGTATAGGACAGTAGGAGATTTCCAGCGATGTACAATTATAACCGTTCGCCAGGATTCTACGCAGAGAGAAAAGGGTCGTCAGGTCGTGGATCATTGAAGGTATCCGTCAAGAGCATAAAGAAGGAAGTGTCGTATGTCGTAGATCTAATAAGAGTGAGAAGGAATTGTCTATTGTAAAGTCGTCTATGTAACAGTTCTCATAATTTGAAATAATTAATAAATCCAGACGTTAAAAAAAAAGGTCATAGTATATTTGTAGTGATCATTGCATATATATATATATATATATATATATGTATATATCTCTTCTAGCTACAAAATGATATGCCATACTGCATTTGTGAAAATATGAAAGATAAAGAGAACAGTCAACAAAACAAAACAAAACCAACCAAACAATATAGTAGTAATTTTGTTTCACAAAGCACATTATGATGCTCTGTTTTTGTTTTATAAGATCATTAATTAGTGTTTAAACTGATTGTAAAATGATGGACAGTGTAAGAAATGTGTTATCATGGAGATGGTGATGTGAGTTTGGTACAAATATTTTAAGACCTTTTTTAAAAAATATAGAAGAAATATTATTTTGTCATTTTCTTAGAGTTTTCTGTTTCCTTATTTGGGAGTAATTGTTGCTCAGCTCACTTGCTCTTATTAGAAAGATGAGATTTTGGCCAACGCAACATTCCATTAAACGAAATTCATCTAGGATTTTCACGTAAACGAGAAAGATTAAAAAAAAAACTTCGACGAATGAGTAAGTGACAGGTGTCTGAATACGGTCTATTAATAGTAGATTACATAAATATCCCTCCCATCTCCTTCTCCGCCGATTCGATTCTCCTTTTTCCAAGCTCTAACATTTAGGGTTTCGCGAAAAATCAATCAGGTGAAAAATAATCGAATTATTTCGAAATTGATACATAAATTCACATTCAAAAGTCAAAGAGCTGAGAAATCGAATTATTTCGTGTGAATTGTTGGTTTTTCGGAGAACCCATGAACGTTAGTCTTCAATGGATACTCCTGTAATGCAGAAGAATCTTCCCAAGGTAGAAGACGATTATGAGTGGGGTAAGTAATAAAGTCGCTTTCTCTGTTAATTTTGTGTTTTCCCGGAAAATTCTGGGTTTAATCGATTCAATTGCATTTGTTTATTGAAAAATTAGGGTTCTTTGATTCAATCATTCAAATTTCTGTATCTTCTTGTGTAATTGCAAATCTTGATTCGATCATTATTTGATTGGTGGCAGACACTGATGGGTTTGTGATTCCAAGCTTGGAGATTGGAGAAGAGAATGTTACTAATGATTCTGAAGTTGAAACATCAAAACCTAAGGTCAGTGATTGATATTTCTTCTGTATCAGAGGAGTTTTCAAATGTTAAGTAACTCTTTATCTCTCATTCTATAATTGTAGATTAAAGCTGAAGAAAACATCTACTTAGGACCACATGGAGCTCCTCCCTCGCAGCTACAAGATGGTAGTAACACATCTAGCCGCAAGCAGCGGTTTAAGCAGAAGCTCAAGGAAGCTGATCAGAAAATGAGCGGCTCTGGTCGAGAGAACAAAATGGCCAACTTAAGAGAGCTTGTAGGCAGCGGCGGCGCAGAGGGACGAACTAAAACTGGAAAAGGTGTTTCAAGAGACTGGCTTGACCCACATTGCCATGAATCTCAGTTCGAGAAACGACGACTTCCCTAACGCCCTTTTTTGCTATGCTTACCGGGAAAAAGAAACCGCTCTCTTTTGAAAACGCTTTGTATCAATCAAAATACCAGTATATTTTAAAGCAAAAAAGCAATTATCATCACCTGTCCTTTGAGAGAAACAACCATGAATTTCTTGGTCAATACTCGAGAGAACTCTTTTTTAGTTTTGGGGTTTGGTCATGGAGCATAACACCATTGATGTTAAACCAGAGCTTCATTTATATAGTAAAATTATACACTCAGCATCAAGAAACAATCAAAGAGTGAGGGTTTGTCATTACATTACAAAACACAAACACAAACACATTACACAAACAAACAAAATTTCCAAAAACTGTTCAATCTCTTTGCTTTTTTGTTGTGTGCAAGTATAACTTAACAAAGATTCTGATTCATCTTCGCAAGATGATGATGACAATGAGGCTTACCTTTGAATCTGAGACGTCGTCTGAGCTAGAACGATGTCAGATGTCGTGAGAGTTCCCGATTCATCGTAATCAAGTTGCTCGAACTCATCCATTATCCCAGAAATATCTTTCTCATCAATCTTACCCATTTCTTTCAGTTTATATACAATAAACTCTGCAGCTCTGCAACAAGGAAGAAAAATATAAGAAGAAGAAGAAGGACAAGACGGAAACAGAAGAGATAATATGTCTGATGTCTTACCCAACGACTCCATCTTCATCAAGATCAGCGGCTTCGAGATCATTGTTTGTGATTCTTCGCGTTAAAACCCATTTCACTAACGCCCTCTGTTTGTTTTCCGTATTTAGCTCAGCTACATAGAGGAAAAACTGAGCCAAACATATGGTGCTCGTCAAGATCCAAAACACAGCAAAAAGGCGTCCTGTTTCCGAGTTAAAGCTCTTATCACCATAACCCAATGTCGTTACCGTGGAACATACGCAGTAGAAAGCTTCGATAACCGGCAGTTTCTCAACAATTACAAGGAAAATCGTACCAACAAGGAAGAGGACTACCAGGACAAGGCATGTAGCATAGCATTTGTATCTCAACTTGTTAGTATGCAACTCCTTGAGAATGTCTGTTGGACCAAAGCTTTGACGCAAATGGAAAGCCCTAACGAGCAAAGTCTCTTGCTTCTCCACTAGATAGTCCGCTGCTCGACTTAAAAGGTGACCCACGAGGACCATTCCCGAGAAGACAAAGGCACAAGCAAGTAGCCTTGAGGCGGAACTATTAGGGACAAGGTCACCGTATCCAACAGTTGTCATCGTTACTATACAGAAATAGACAGCATCTAACACAGCATTGGTCTTATGACCGGAGATCTGGTCTCTCACGAAGTAGAAACAGAGAGTACCAATGGCTAGATATAAAGCCAAGAGCATGATCACTTGCCTGAGATTCGGGTTTAGATCACTAAACATTGGGATTTTACTAGGATGAGGAGGCGGTTCATCGATTTTGACATCATCATTGTACATACAATCACCACGAGGAGCGCTTCTAGAGCGACGCAATCTTCTTTTTCTTGAAGAAGTTCTTGAGTTTAGGTTGAAATCTTGAGCCATGGGATCTAACTTCTCCGTAGGTAACAATGGTGTACGAGCAGAATCAATTGACATGTCTATATTGAAACCAGGTAACTATGGGATTGAAGTAGTTTTCTAAGATCTGCAGATCAATCAAAATCTCTTGTCAAAATCATTCATAGAAATAGATTGTCAAATTGTGAACATGAATCAACAAAATTTGAAACTTTAAGTATCCATGAATCAGTTCAAATCTTAAATAGATGAAACAAAAAAATATTCCAACATCTCGATTTCTCAATTGGATATAAAAACTTACACCAAAACAGACATCTTTTGTCTAAAATCCTGTTCTGAGAAATCAACATATGGACCAAAGATGAAGAGTAATCAATCAGACACAGAATCCGAAACTGAAGGAAGAATTGAGACATACCCAGAAATCAAAATAAGCGGTGTTGTCGGATCTCGCTATTGTTCTTCATTGATGTTCTCACAGTTTTTTTTTTGGTAATTGATGTTCTCACAGTTGGCCAATTCTCTTCGGTGCTTACTTCTAGTTTTTTTTTTTTTTAATATTAATTATCCTTTTTCCTTTTTTTTTTGGGTGAAAATTATCATCTTCTAATCCAATAAATTTGTTTCCTTCTTCAAAATATTAGATTTTCATTGATCTTATTCATTTCTTGAAAGGATATTTCTCATTAGTATTGTTGATATCTTTAGAAAAATATTTTCTTTTTATATAGAAGAATTTATTTATTAAAATTTATTTTAGATGTTACAAAAAAAAATATTTCATTTCTTATTTTTTCTTGGTTTTCTAGTTTTTTTTTTTCAAGCCATTCATGTGAAATATTGTTTACGTTTTCTAGTTAGTTATACACTTACAAGTTACTACCACAAGTAAAAAAAAAGTAATCTAAAGAAGAAGAGAGACAATGGGGTTATAATAAGTCGATAGATCACACTTTTTGAATGTTATACATGATACATCATATATGTTATTAATGTGATCATGATGATACATCATACATATGTGTAAATTCAAACCCCAAACACAGAGAAATATAACACACATTATTTGACATTATTCTAAGACATTACTAAGTGATTCATAATTTGATATACATGGAAATTTAACATAATTTAAAAACATTCAACCATCTTATAGGCTCATTGATATGCAAGACTCCGGTGGAGAGAGATATGAGATAATTCAACACCAACATGAACCCTAAAGCTGATCAGGCCAGAGAAATGATTCAATTGCAAAAACCCTTTTGTCTTCAAGAGATCCTTCGAATGAGAATCCGTATTGTTTGAGCAGCAAGTCAAGGCGGAGATCATCCATGGCTTCGTAATCAGACTTGGAGTATTTAGGGTAGTGAAGAGGAACTTGAAATCCGCTTGGGAATTCTTCTTTCTTCATCATCTTTATAATTTTGTTGCGGGTGCTTTGGCAGTTGCTGGTTTGATCCATGTGGTTCGAGTAGCCGAACATTTGAGTAAAAGCCGTGGTAAAGACCAATTTCATTTCCATTTTCTTGGTTTGATTTCAAGATTTTACAAAATAAGGATGAAAAAGAAGATTTGAAATAGAGATAAAAAAGTAGTAGAAGAGGAGAAGAAGCAAGCTTAAGCCAAAAACCAAAAAAAGAAGATCCTCAAGACAAACTCAAACTCAAAGGCAAGCTTGGAGCTTGGTTGTAGTAAAGGAGAACCAAAGACTAGTATATATATATAGAGCGAGGCAGGTGAGGTAAGACACATGTATTTTTTCCGAAAAATAAATTAAAATAGTAAAATACATATTTTCGATCGACAGAATAATCGTCATTTAAATTATTTTATCATCAAAACTATAGTACGTATATAGTTTTAATTAAACAAAAATATGATTACAACGAGTAGTTATTGTTCTAAACCTAACCTTTTTCCTTTTAATGAAAAAAAAAAAGTATGATGATATAACAAAATGTGAGAACGACGGTTGTGAGCTACATGCACCAGAAACCGCATCGGCCAACGATGGTTCATGCATTCATGCACTCATCATCTTATGTGGGGACAAATATGAAACAGTTGGAGTATAGTTGTGGCTTGGTGTGCAAGGAGAAAAGTAGGTGAAAGTATTTATTATTTATATTAAAGAGGGAGGCCCATTTTCTAACTAGACAATCGAATTATTTGGAGCCATTCATATGTGTTTCGTGTTTGTGTGGTGGTAGTGATGATGTGTCTTTGTTAAATTCTCTAGTCTATACATTACAATTGAAAATATCTTCTCTTTTTTGGCAATGATCATCGTTTTCAGAGATTTTTGAAGAGACTTAGAGCATGTACATGGGTGATATCCATTTAGTATCATTAAGAATTTTTTAGTATTATTTATAATGTTTGTTTATTATTTGAGATTTTTTATGATACTCCTACTAAATATGTTTGCATTGGTGAGACCGGTTTAAATATCATAAAAAAAAAAAATTTGCAAAATCAAAAATTAATATATTAAAACATAAGATTACAAAAGGTAATATTATAATAAAAAAAAGTAGAATATACTTAAGCAAAATAAAACATAAAATTCAAAAAAAACTGAAAAAACATGATGAAAAAAATAATGTAAAAATATCAGAAGGAGAAACATAGATATAAAAATGCAAACTTTCAAGACCAAACTCGTTATGTAACAGAGAAAGACAAGACCAAAGCATTTAAGGTAAAAGGGAACCAAAGTTCATACCTTTCAAAGGCTTATTACTGGCCTTAACAGCAGAAGGAGCGGAGGAGAGGAGAGAAGCACAAATCAAAGCTCGTTAGGATCGGCGGAGGTGAGGAGAAATCGAAAATCGCCCGAGGAAATGTGAAATAGAATCGAGGAGATGAAGCCGGAGAAGAAACGGAGAGGTGAAATAGAATCGAAGAGATGAAACCGGAGATGAAACCGGAGAAGAAACGGAGAGAGCGGAGGCAGGAGATCGGCGGAGGAGAAGAAATCGTTTTCTCCATCGCGTTTCTAGGGTTAGCGAGAAAAGAAGAATGAGAATTTTTTTTTTTTTTTTCCTGTTTTTAGAAAAAGAAACGCGTTTTCTCGGAACCAATAAGAAACCGCCACGTCAATGATACTGGGTATCAAAAGTCTCACCCCAGTGATACGGATCAAGCCCAAAAATTGTGTCTGATCCATTAAAAAAATATTTTTGGGCTTTTGATACTCTATTTGTTTCACCGGTGTACATGGTCTTATTCGGTTGATAAAAAAAATGAGAGTGAATTTGTACCAAATTAGTAGTTTTAACCAAAGTAGTTTCGTCGTTTGCAAAGAGTTTTTGTTTTTTTGCTTTTCACTTCCAAAAGTGTTCCAAGTAGAAATATTAAGGGGCCTATTCGTGTTGTGTTGTGTTGTTGTGTAAAAGAATTCGAGTTGAGACTTGAGGCCTATTTGGTCCGATTTCTCCAACTCACACTAACCCAAAATAAGCCTAATTGCAGTCCACAAGAAGTTCAAATCAAATCCGGTATGGATTCTTTACTTGAACCGAACCCTAAACCAAACAAATCCCACAACTCAAATAAGTCTTTTGCTGCTATGCTAAACTCTAGTTCTCCATTCCCAATCATCTCGAATCCAAAGCTAGGGGCTAGGTTTTTGGTTTGGATGAACCAAATTGGACAACCATACTTCAAATACTAATTTTTCTTACAAGTATTCTTTTTCACGTCTGCATATGAGAATTACATGTTCACAAAATCCATACTTACAAAAGTAAAAAAGAGAGGGAAAAATCTCAAATCCAAAACTAAATCCAGTGAAAATAAATACCTGACTTATTGTGCTGTTGTCAAAAGTAGGTACATGTTGAGAATAACTTTGAGAGTCTATTGATCAATGTTTTTAAGGTTTCAGTGAAGACAATAAGAAAATTTCAGAAAAAAAAAACAAGCTCTATGATTTCATTTGGATCGTCGAGATTCAAGTAGAAGAATTCAATTTCCACACAAGGACTTAATAATCAGCTTGAAGAGTCTTCTGCAGGCAAACCGAAACAACCATCGGACCAGCCAAGTCCCCCAACGCGCAGCCTGCATTAAGGACAAAAAAATACATATCAATGTTCCAAAAACTGAAAAATTCTATGGAGTTATCTGTGCATTTCCAATAACGGGTATGGTGAGGTGAGCTTACCGATCCATTGGCCCGTGGAGGGACGGATAAGGCAAGAGCATATACCGGCTCCAATGGCAGCAAACACTAAGGAAGCCCCACATCGTACTGTGATACCCACAACTTTGTTTCCGAGGTCCTTAGCTTGCTGTGATATCTCGACTTGTTCCTCTTCTTCTTCCTCGGGTTTAACATTCGGGAACACACATCTGTATATTTCAATGCCTACTTGAACTACCCATGATGCTGCAATTCCCAGGAAGTGACCTGCATAAACACAGCCAAAGACAGAACATGCATATAAGCTTCAGAAGAACTAAACAATGTCTGATCTGAAAAAGAAGGAGCATTTGATGGGAAGGTCACCCCAGAGTTGAAAAACCAAAATGTTTTATTATACCTCTAAGAGTTGTTTGGCTGACTTTAAAGATGTATACATGTGTCGGCAACCCTCTCTGAGCCTTGCGTAAAGCCGACTGAGGCGCATCTGCAGAATATATTTATTGTATCCGCTATTAGTTCACCGAGCTAAATCTGTCTACTAACTTTTATTATAACGCAAGTTTGTAGTGGAAGCAAAAGTAATGGAAGATAGTGTTACCCTTTAGAAGTTTCCATGCCATACGCTGTGAGACATAACTCAAAGCCAGCCTTTCAAGGAGTCTCCGAGTGGTCACAACTGTGGTCTGGATCATAATACCGAAATTAGCAGTTTAAACCATGGCATCATGAAGCAACTACAGATGGTAAGAACCTTTAATGCGTACTAGACAACAAGAGAAAGATCTGGAAATACTAACCTCACGGGCAATTTGCTTGGCTGACTTTTTAAGAGGAACAATCAAGTCTGTGCGGCGGTTTTCTTCTGCAGCACTGTTTAGGAAATCATCATCGTCCTCAGAAGCCGTTTTAGGCTCCAAAAGAGGCAAATAAAACATCAGGAGGGATCTCACTGTAGTCATTGCAAGTGCCCTGAACTCAAAGGCCGAGAAAATTGGTTTCGGCTGGATATTGTATTCCTTGGAACTAGAGATATATGCAAGCGGTTCACGCTGCAAAACATCCGCAGACATTTTCCGTATAGCACCAAGGTAGTCATCATCTATTCCAGCAGCGGCATCACAATACGCAACTCGAGGCTCAAAAGAACTGTAACATAAACAATCTGAGTCATTGATAGGTTGAAACTGAAACAATGAAGTGCTAATCACCGAGAGAGCATCGACAGGACACATGAATGAAATCTATCAAGAGATCTATATAGATTAAAAACAGAGCTGGTAAAACCCAACACGCCCAGACATCAAAAACCATATCTAGAACTATTCCTTGATGTTATAATCTCACCACAATAACCAATACTTCAAACAGGATTGCAAAATATGATCTTTACTAGTAATTGACATAGCCTTGGATCAGTGTGACCGCTCAATTAAAACTAGAAATCTGCAAACTTTCTTGTTTAATCGAGCAATAGAAGATGATCAATTATGAATAAAGCTTTTCTAATTCTAACCCTAATCCAGAACGAAATCACAAAAAGTAGTAATCAATCCAATAACTATATCGACCACGATCCAGTGAAAGTCAAACAAATCCAAATCCGATACAGAGAGAGACAATACATACCCGAAGAGAAACCTAGACGCAAAAGGAGCAGTGGCGGCAGCAGAAACAGCGGCGGCGGAGGCGGAAGAGAAGGAAGATGAGTGAAGACTGTGCTTGGATTGAGATTTCTTCAGTAGATCTAAAACTATAGCTATTCCCGCCATTACTAACAAACCAAGCTTGATTCGATCGAATAATCAATCTCTCTCTCGTAATCTTCTTCGTTTGTACTAATTCAACTTTGTAGATTTTCTCATTCAATTAAAAAAAATAATTTTCTCGACAAAAGTAATGATTCTTAACGTTCTCTGTTTTCTCGGTAGCCAGAGAGACGAGAGAAAAAAAAAGAGACAGAGATCTGTTTGACTTTCCGTTGACTTTCTTTATTTTTATTGTCGGCATTGGCCGGCATTGGCCATTTAAGGCCCATTAAAGACCCATTAACTTCCTGATATTCGTAGTAAATGCACACTTTTTCTTCTCTCTCTTCCTTCACCAAAGCAGCTAATTTGCCAAACCCCTGTAACTTTGAGAGAGAGAAGAGAGATCATCCATGGCTTTTCTTCAAGTTTACCTTAATCAGAACTCATTTTCTTCTTCTTCTTCTTCATCTCCTTTTTTCAGCTTTTCCTTCTTCAAATCTTCCAAATCGATCTTCGATTTTGTGTTTTCGCCGCTATTCTAAGCTTCTAAAGTTTCACTTTTTTTTTTCTGAATCATTTGTTTGTTCTGTACAATCCTTATTAGAGGAATCGGATTCAAATTTGAGATGCCCATTTCGTCTTCGTCATGCTTAAACTGATTACCGCAGTCAAAGTCGTATCTTGGTGTTTGGCGGCGCTCTCGAGCTTAGATCAGTGTTTCCACGGCTTAGTCTCTGATCTCTCGACAGATCTTCAAAACTCTCCGCTCACTGGGTTCTTCTCTGCTTTCTCTA